CCCCAAAACCCCAAAACCCCAAAACCCCAAAACCCCAAAACCCCAATCTCTAAAGAAAATTTGGTATATAATAAATAAAATGAGTTCTCAAGAAATTCTGGCTAATTCAATAACGAATACTGTTGATAAGGAAAAGTCCGCACAAGAGGAACAAGATGATGAGGTTATCATCGATGACCAGAATCCTCTTTTGGAGGATGATTTACAGGTATGAACTCCAGCCCTTTTATCCCTCTAACTCATATTTTATTGACCCAGATATAGATGAACCTGAACAAAAGGTTAATACTGATGAACCTGACCAGAGAAATCAGGAAGATGAGGCTTCAGAGAATGAGCAAAATCTGTCTGATTTTATTAATAATACTGAATTTTCTTACCAGTCAAGCTCAACCGCACAAAATTTGAAAATTTTATTAATTCAGTCAACAATTGGACTAGCCTTAAAGCTGAAGCCCAAGCTTGGGAAAATGCTTATCACCAATAGTGATGGTGGATGATGAGATGACATTCGAAAAAGTCTGGACCTTAACAAGCAACTTCTGGGAGAAGATGTAGCAGACCTGATCTCAGTCAAGCAAATAACATGGGACGAAAGTCTACAGGTCTCTGGAACGAGATACGATTATATCTGTATTACTGGCAGTCATTTCTCACAAGAGTTTGTGCAAATACTTGAGAAAATAGTCCCAACCGTTCTCTCAGTAGTCGATGATCAGGAAAGAGTTTTCTTATTAGGTCCTACAAGCGAGGAGGACATCAGCCAGTTTGAGGATAATGTCGGAGATACAATTTTTGAGTCTAAAAAGGAAGAAATCGGTATATTCTTTGTAAATTTTAGATGTTCCTACTAAGAATTCAAACTCTCTTGGACAATTTGGTGATCCAGATAATCACTATTCCAGTGAGAACAAAGATCTTATTGATGAAGGCATATTCGATGATGACCAGGCACTTCAGAGAGAAGGCCATTTAGGCCTCCCCTCTCTTGAAGATGATAACGAAGATGACTATTTCGAACCAATAGGTTAGGAATACTCTTAATTATTTTATAATTACTTCAATTATGAAGCAATTACTAGGGGTTTTGGGGTTTTGGGGTTTTGGGGTTTTGGGG